GGGGAGGAGAAGAGCCAGTCAGGGGGCGATGTAGCAAAGATGAAAAATACAACGTTCCTCTAGTTCCTAAATGCTTCCTCCTCATCCCCACTATCATGATCCGAATTCTACCTTGCAAGTCTGGCTAGACCAGAGGATGTACACTGGTATAGATAGGAAATGGAATCCAGGGTGGATGATCCCTTCAGGACCAGTGGTGTGAGTGGCGATACTGGGAGAGCAGAAGAAGGGTGGGTTGGAAAGGGGGAACCGATTACAAGGATCTACATGTGACCTCCTCCCTGGGGGAAGGACAACAGAAAAGTGGGTGAAGAGAGAAGTCGGACAGGGCAAGATGTGTCAAAATAATAATTTATAAATTATCAAGGGTTCATGAGGGAGGGGGAAACGGGGAGGGAGGGGAGGAAAATGAGGACCTGATGCCAGGGGCTTAAGTGTAGAGCAAATGTTTTGAGAATGATGAAGACAATGAATGTACAAATGTGCTTTACACAGTTGATGTATGTTTGGATGTGATACAAGTTGTATGAGCCCCTAATAAAACTATTTTAAAAAAAAAAGAAAGTGAGACACTGAAGAAGGAAGACAGAAGAATCAATATATTTGAATTGTGGTGCTGGAGAAGAACACTGACAGTTCCATGAACTACCAAAAGAACAAACCAATCTGTCTTGGAAGACGAAGCACCAGAATGCTCCTTGGAAGCAAGAGTGGCAAGACTTAGTTTCCTGTTGGACTTAGTTGGACATGTTCTCAGGAGAGCAGGGCCTGGACACAGGCATCATGCTTGGTAAAAGCAGAGAAGCAGTGCAAGCGAGAAAGTTCCTCAGCTGACTGGACTGACACGGTGGCTGCACCATGGGCTCAGGCATCGGAACCCTTGTGAGGATGGTGCAGGACCGGGCAGGGTTTCGTTCTGCTCGCCACAGGGTCACTATGGGTCAGAATTGACTCAGTGGCACCTAACAAGAACAACAATCATACGGTTGAACATCGACCAATTCTTTTTGCTACCCTGACTCTGTAATTCTCCATGTTTTACGTTTTCTGCAAAAATGATGTCTTCAAATGTTTTGCACTTAATATTTTGCTTTCAGTATTGCATCTCAAGACTTGAATTTTTCTTTAGTTCTTTTATACTGAAATGCACCACGTGTGTTCTCCCTTTTTGATTTTCTAACTCCAAGTCTTTGCAGCTTTAATTATAATACTTTGCTTTTTTTATTTTATGCATTCTTTGAAATCTCCAGTTCAGTTATTTTATTTCATCATTTCTTCCAATTCATTTAGTTATTCTACATCTAAACGCATGCTTTGGAATCTCTTCTGACACCCATTTTGCTTGTTTATTTTTTCTTGTCTTTTTAATGACCTTTGGCTTTCTTCTTGCAGATGCCCTTGATGACATCTCACAACTTGTCTTCAATCGTAGTGGTGATATGTGTTAAAGCTCTCCTTGAGAAGAGGCCATGGTGATGTAGAAGGTGACACTTGGGCTGCTAGCTGGAAGGTCACCGGGTTGAGACCTCCAGCTGCTCCAAGGAAAAAGATGAACTTTCTACTTTCCTAATGGGTTACAATCTCAGAAACCCACAGGGGTAGTCCTAGTTATTCTATAGGGTCATTATGAGCCAGCCTCAACTCAATGACCATGAGTTTGGGTTTTATTCTTGAGATCGTCTCTAAATTCACGTGGGGGATACTCAAGATCCTACTATGGTTTTCTTGGGTTTATCTTAATTTTCTTCAGCTTCACCTTGAACTTGCACATGAACTATTGAAGGGCTGCTCCGAAGTCAGCCATTGTGCTTGTAGTAACAGATGACAGGGTGCTCCTCCATTGTCTCATTTCTCAGATGAAGTCAACTTATTTCCCGTGTATTCCATCTGGTGCAAGTGTGTATGTAGTTTCCTCCCACATCGTTGAAAAATAAGATAGTTACACTAAGTGGATTGTTGGTCTTGCACATTCTGTCGTGGTATAGCTGCTGCTATGTCACTGGCCATTAATACGGTTGTACAACTAGACCAATTAGCAACATTATTATAAACAGAGAAAAATATAAAAGTTGTCAAGGATTTTATTTCACTTGGATCCACAATCAGTGCTTGTGGATGTAGCAGTCAAGACATCAAAGGATGTATTACATTGAGTAGATCTGCTGCAAAAGACTCCTTAAAGTGTTAAAAAGCAAAGATGTCACTTGGGAGTAAGGAGCACTTGACCAACCATGATAGTTTCAATGGCCCTGTGTGCATTCAGCAGCTAGCCAATGAATAAGGAAGGCTGCAGAAGAGCTGACACTGTGATTGTGTGCTTGGGGAAGAATACTGAAATATACCATGGACTTTCAGAGAACAAACAAATTTATCTGGGAAGAAGGACAGCCCGATGGTCCTTAGAAGTGAGGATGGGAGAGTTTATCTCACGTACTTTGGGCTTGTTATCAGGAGGGATCAGTCCCTGAAGAACACTGTCCTTGGTGAAATAGAGGATCCATGAATAAGATGGACAGCCTCAAGGAGATGACTGACATAGTGGCTGCAACAATAAGTCCAAACTTAGTAATTAATCTGAAGATGATTCAGGACCAGGTGATGTTTCATTTTGTTGTACATAGGATCACTATGGGTTGGAACTGACTCACAGTATAGTGCTAATTTTTTCTTAAGTCATTTTAATCTTTAAAACAGTACTCATTTTTGAAGTAAACTTTTAAGAGTTGACCATTTTTTAAAAAGTGCTTTTTTTATCAGAATTCCAAAAACAGAGACTTAAAAAGAGATTTTTTTTTAAGTGTCAAATAGCTATTCTGCATGTTACAGAGAAAGCAGCCTTTCAGTTGATCAAGGGGCTTAAATTTCAGGTGATATTTTTAATATTGTGTGGACAGAGCCAAAGTCACCTTATCTTATTAAATTTCATTTGAGCACCCACTGTTGTGGACTTGGTCCTGTCTCATGGTGACCCTATGTGTGTAAATATGCTAACTTAGAATGAGGGCTTCTTTAACAGACCAAAGAAGACAAACAATTGGAGGTACTAGAATGACAAGCATAGGAGGTTAAAGTGAGAGTTCAGAGTGTTTTAAACATTCAACCTACATATTTCCAAGTCATAGTTCCTTTGGCTGAGCTCAGTCTTAGGATTAATTTCACTATGCCTTAATTGGCAGAATTAATAAAGAATCATTTTAAAATATGAGTACATCCCAAACTTCTTAACTTCACTGTGACATAATCTTATCTCTAGGTAGGCAACCAAGAACGTTTTTTAAGCATTGCAGTTAAACTGTTGCCATTCAGCATGAAATGCTTTTGATGTATCTGAAAGAGGACTTCATGGAAGTATGTGGTAGATAAGATTAGATCTTTTGGCAGGAGTGTGTGAAGAATAATTCCAAACAATTATTTATTTTAAAACAATTTTTATAAGGAAAAATCAAAAGGCTCTTTAACTTGATTTTCAAATTATTTTATTACTAATACAAGTTTGGTTTTTCAAACGCACCTTTCAAATACAGTTTTTTGGGATGAACATGGGTGGAAATGTCACTCTGATTGGCAAAAGAACATCATCCCTCCTCCCACCCTTCTTTTTAATAGGAAGATGTGGCAAGAGACGAATACTTTGAAGAGAGACACAATGGGAAAAGCCACATTCTCTTAAAAATCAATTCCTCCAAAGTTATCACTAAGCCTATTTATTCAAAGTTTCAATTCTTAAAGATACACATGAGTCTATATGTTGTTTACATATATATGTTTATGAGTCGAACTAACCAATGCATACATGTGGTGCTGTCGGTTGCCCGAGAGCTGATTCTGACTTACAAGGACTCCTCCCCGTGTGCAGAGTGGAGCTACGCTCTAAGGCTTTCAACACGGTGACCGTTCAGAAGCAGGTGCCTGTCTCCCAAGGCACCTCTGGGTGGGTTTGATCTGCTAACCTTTAGACTAATAGTCAAGCATAGCACTATCTGTGCCACACAAAGATTCATACTTTTATTAGAGTAATTAAGTACATATATTCTTCATATCTAATAAGGTAGCCTTTTCCACTATAAGTTATGGTGCGAGAACATGAAAGAGACCCATTCAAAGAGAGATAAATAAAATGGAATCTGTGCATTTATAAAACTTAAAGTACAAGACAGAATTGAAAGTATCTTAATAAGGAAAACTTCATGCACATGCAATGATTTTGTTTTTTAAAGCCAAAGTGGAAGGTGTCATGTAAGTGTATCTGTGACTAACATATTATACTTTCAGGGAACACTTATTCATCTACAATGAAACAGAAACGGTTTCTATCCATGTGACTTCTACTAGCACAGATATTTCTTACGACAAAGGTGATATGCATTTGTAAAGCAACAGCGTTTCCCTAAACAAGCGATTATTTGAAATATGAGTCCAGTCAAATTGATTTCATTTTTGTGAGAACAATAATTTCTAGAGCTCTTCATCCATAACGATCATATCTCAGGGAGGTAGGTATCATGTCTCAATCATTAGCATGAATGGAACCAATCTAACTCTTTTCATTTCAAAGCAGAAAGAGTTTACTACCCATACTGCACTTGGTGAAGATTTGATAATGGCACGTCTACCTTCAGAACAATCTCTGGACTCCCTGAAGCATCCGCTCTCCTTTAGAATGTAATTTCCTAGGGGTAAACTAAGGAAGCACAACTTTCTATACGGTCTTTCTCTGGGTAGTGATAGCATATTTCAAATTCAATAAATTTGGTCCAAAGGACAACAGCCTGTTTTACCATCTTAATATTTAAGGTAACAAGGTCTTTTTTTCTCTATTTTGAGTCTCATGAAAGTTTCAGTGAATAATATAATGTACATCAAGTGATGAAAATAACTCCTAGCACGCAGAAAATAAGCTACGATCTTAATAGACATAGTTTTTTTGGTACTAAATCCCTCATATATTAAAATATTCAGTGATTATGTCTTATGATTTGAGAGAATTTACATGGTATTAAAGTAACTTTAAAAATCTCATGTTGACCTATATTCATTGTTTCTTCTCTCCATAAATGAGCAATTGATCTGGTGCTCCCCTCAGTCATAGAACTTTCATATCTCAAGTTGTTTCTTATTTCCAAGATGAAGGAAATCTTTAGAATCTGTTTGTTATCTTTTCTTTAGTTTTAGTCTTTGAAAGAAATCATCACAATGAAAAGTTCCAGAATTAAAAAGTGAAGCAAAACAAAAATATACACATCTTAAACCTAGCAAAGTTTTCAATCCTCAAGTTGTTTTTTTAGTGTAAAATATTCTCAGTATTTGCTTAAGGTGTAAAATCTTTGAATTCCCTTTTATCTCACCCTTTGTGGGTGTGGAACAAGGAGCTTATAGGTAGTTGTGGGTGACTTGTTCCTTGCTTATGCGAATGAGGCATGGGCATGAGGCTGATAAAGCAGCTGTTTCACTTCCTTTCAACATCTTAACGATGGCTTTCTAGAGAAGCACCATGAGGTGCGTAGGCTTCTGCGGCATGTTTTCTATAGCTATGTAAATGGCTGTGGCCAACAGTTGCACAATAGCAAACATATCCGTCTGCCACTTCCTTGAATCCATTAATTGTTTTTCCCTTCACATCAACCCTGACTCCATTTAACACATAACACAAACCTGCTGCCCAACAATTCCCTTTGAGGCCTTTAATGACACATTAGTGACACCAATTACCTAATGCACTTCTAAACTTAATCTGATATTTATAAGATGAGCCATCAAATTTAACAATGCATCAAACATCATTCCACTGATGACAGAATCTTCGATTATCAAGGCTGTGAAGGATCATTTGATAATTGAGGACATCTGAGTCCAGAGTTTATTTCTGTCTTAAGCTAAAACCAAACCAAACCAAACCCATTGCTATCCTGCCTATTTCAACTCAAAGCAATCTTTCAGCATTGAATAGAACTTCCCCGCAGGATATCCAAGGCTGGATGTGACCATGATGGGATTCAAAGATGAGTTGGAATTATGGATCTCTGGTTGGCAGCCAAGGGTCTAACCACTGTGCCACCAGGGGTCCTGACTTTTAATAGATTCAGAATAAATTCTAGACTGAAATCTCTCGACTGCTCACACATTACACAAAGCCCTTATCTCAAAAGCCCTTCTGAAATTTGTAGTTATTTTATTCTCTATATTGTTTCTTTCTGAGAACTCTAATATTCCATTTCTTTTTTGAAAAGTTGGAACTTAATTGGGTTTATTTTTAATGTTTCATTGAAATACTTAAAATAACACCAAGGAAATTCCTTTCTATGTAATCATTATTCATTGACTTACTCCTATTGAAAACTACTAAGTGTTAGCAAACCAACACACACACACACACACACACACACACACAAAATGAAGGCTTTTTCTTCAAGGAAACCTCTGTGTATCTGCACACAAGGAAGTGGTTCACACTCATGTGTTTGTACACTAAATTCTCTCTCTCTCTTTCTCTCTAGATAGCTCAGAAAAATGACTTTAAGAACAAGCCAAGACCAAAAAGTGAATCTATTAGAAAAATGAAAACTCCTTCCAAGGAGCATTTCTGCCTGTCCATGTTATAGGTAGGACACAGTCAGGTTCTTATCACATGCTCATGTTTGGCGCCTCCATCCCCTTGGATGTGGGTTATAATTGCAATCGGTTCCTGACAAGCAGTAATCAGATCTGGTTTCCATGGACATTATCTCAGAATCATTTCTGGAAGCCTGCCTATAATATGCATACGGTAACTGTGAACCATACTGGGCGCTGGTGGACATGCTACCATAGGGTGCGGATGTGACACTGAGCTCTTCCCTTCTAAATGAGCTCGTGTCGGTCTTCTGGGCATGAGGAACATAGGACACTCTGTCTTTCCAATTCTCTGATGACCCTGAGAGCACCTTCCTCCGAGCTGCGGAGACCACGTTTGCCACGATGGATTCCTGCATGTTTCTGTGTCTGAAGGCATCCTCCACTAGGCCAAGAGGAGACTTCGCTGCTGCTTCCCAAGGACTTAGCCTGTTGTTGGCTTTCTCTAGCCCATCAGACGGTTTATCAGACTGGCACATCCAAGGAGGGATCGTGGAGACACTGGCTGGGATTGATCTTCCAGGAAGAGAAAGGGAATGTCCTCCTCGCGCCTAGAAAAAGAAAAGAACAGGTTACTAGAGCACATTTATTCTAGGTTGTTTCTCTTACTGTCATTCGAAAATGGTCACGGCATTTTGGGTAGTGCAAACAATTCATGTGCTGGGCTGTTAACCGGAGGAGGGAGGTTCAGGTGGACCTAGAGGTGCCATAGAAGGAAAGCCTGGCGATCTCGCTCCAAAGAAGCAGCCCTTGGAAACCTCATAGAGCACAGTCATAGGCGGATACATCCAGGGTTGTCAGGAGTTATCGTTGATATGGTGACGACCCGACAAGGCTTAGTTGGAGCGCTAGGTAGGATAGGTTGGCCTGCGGCATTATGAGCTCTGGGTTACTCCTTGGCCCTTGCTTCGGATGTCCTTGGTGCTCCACTTTGTGCAACTGTAATTTCTTTTGCAACCGCTTTCTTATGGATCACCACCTGACATTATACTTCTATAGATCCCCGACTATAACTACATCAGAAGCTCCACCTTATTTTACTTTATTCTTATTCTACCTTATTCTACCCTGTCGTCCTCATACAAAATGAACAAAACATATTGCTCATCCTAGAAACAGACCATAAACTACTGATCTTTTTACTTTTTTCTATTCACTTTTAATCTACCAGCTCCTTTTGGTCTACTGAGTATATCAAAGGCAAATAAAAACAAAACCACTATGCATGTGTAAATAGCACCACAGCCAGCTCCTCACTTCATGGCCCGGTTAGGCTCTGAAGAGATCAGGTCATTAGGTGGAAATGAACATTACATGAGAATAGAGAATGACCACATCAGATCCCAAAATAGAGGAAAACTGCATCATTCCATAACTGGCAAACCACACAATTGCATTACTTCCAAACTACATCATTACCCAACTGTCAAATTGCACCGTTACATAACTGCCCAACCACTGAGAACTACGGCCAAGCCAAGCTGACGTCAGTATCACAGACATTGTTACTCCCGCCTCACAGCTCGCTTCTCACTACTGCCAGGCATGCATTTTAACGTGCAAAATGGTTGGGAGGGAGATTTTTTCTCACTGTTGTTTCCCATGTTAAACGTCAGAGAATGGGACCAAGTAAGTGAGACGTAAAGGTCCCTGAGTTAGAGAATGAATGGCTTGTGGGTCTGCTTTCCCCTCAAAACCTATTGACCTTGAGGACGGCCACATGAATCTTTGCTCTTTAAGGGTGGTGCATTGCCCATGTCTTTGAGCGGAAACACTCCTGCCACTTGTATCATTTGAGTACTGTTTCATCTGAAGGATATATACTCCTTATTTCCTTGAGGATTTGTATCCCTGTAGCAATATCTTGATGTATACTAAATATTCTACTTGTCTAATATATAGAAATCTGATTTATTGAAGCTCCACACATTCTCTCTTTTTATCTCTGCAGTATCTTCATGGACCTTGGTGACTGGATAATGATTTAATTTTTCAAAAATTGCCTTTCCTACCACATTCTCTTAGAACAATCTCCTGGCTAAAAAGCAGCAAAGCTGCACTAAGAGGAAATTAACCAGCAAATTGAAAGCATCATCTATTTTATTTCTCAAACAAAAGGCATTTCCATGCTTAAGAAGGTGCTCAACTTGTATACATAGTTTCACCAGATTTTCTTTTTCAAGATCTTAACTTTAAAGTGAACAGCAGCAATTCAATTGAATTGTGTCAAAATGTCTCTGATTCAAATATTTTGTCTTTTGTCAAGCACACACAGAGGCTGGATGATTCTAGATTTGCATGGACATAGCAAAGCAAGTTGCCATCATGTCAGTTCTGACAGAGTAAAAGGGCTGCTCCATAGGGTTCTCATGGCTTGGGGCGGGTGGGGCGGGGGTGGGGTGGAATAGATCACCAGTCCTTTCTGCTGAGGTGTTTCTGGGTGAACTCAATCCGCCCTCCAACTATTTGGTTAGCAGTTGAGCATGTTAGCCATTTTAACCCCTCAGGAGCTTCGTATAAAAACAAGGAAGGATGTTAAAGTAATAGAGAGGGAGTGGGGAGAGGTTCTAATGCAATGGATATTTCTTTCTGTTTAACCATTAAAATTGTAGAGATAATGATTGACTCCTAGACACAGCTTTTCATGAATCACTTGTCCTTACCCTAAACTCCTAATAAGCCCTTGTCACTATGTAATCGGGGGAGAACAAAGGCCTCTCTAAAAGTCACCCTCGGCAGACTTGGTTTCTATTCCACATAATTTATGTGTTGGTGTCCCTTCATTTGCCGCACTTTCCCCTGAACCTTTTGTGTTCCCAGACATGCTGTGCTAACGACTCAAGGGCGACTCCGATGAAGCATCCTCCCAGAACTCTGCCATGCAATCGTATGTTCAGGTTTGCAGTGAGGAGTCAGTTCAACGTAAAAAGTGAGGCTGGAGAAAGTTGAGAGTTTTTTTGGACAGGAAAAAAATCAGACCTTTCTAAACTATGAGAAGTTGTCTTAGTTATCTCATGTTGTTATAGAGAAATACTACATGTGGGTGACTTTTAACAAGCAGGAATTAATTGTACTATATTTAGGGGGCTAGAAGTCCAATGTTTGGTGCCAGCTCTAGGGGAAGGGAGCCCTGGTGGCATAGTGCTTATGTATTGGGTTGCTAACTGCGAGACCAGCAGCAGTTCCAAACCACGGGTCACCCTGAGGGGGAGAAATGAGGCTTCCTAATCTCAAAAAGATGTTCAGTCTTAGACACCCACAGGGGCAGTTCTACCTTTTCCTATGGGGTCGCCATGAGTTAGAATTGATACTCGATGGCAGTGAGTTTGGTTTGGGTTTGGCTGTGAGGGAAGCAAGGCTATTTGCTTGTCTGTCATCTATCTTACTCCCTCTCCCCTTCCTAGTTTGCTGGCTTTATCTCTTTTATATCTCAAATTAAATGGTCATAAGATATGCCCTGCATGAGTCCTATCTCATTGATAGACAAAGACAGCCCATTTCCAAGTGGAATTATAATGCCAGGCATACAGGTTAGGGTTCCAGCATTTATGTTGAGGGGAAATAACTCAATCCTTAACAAAAGTGTTAAGTACAATAAAGAGAAATGTAACTCCTGTCTCCTGATGCTAATGTCTAAGTTTCTCTTTTGTCCGTGGAGCCCTGGTGGCATAGTGGTTATAAGTTGCACTGCTAACTGCAAGGTCAGCAGTTCAAAACCACTCTGTAGAAGAAAGATGAGACTGTCTACTCCCATAAAGAGTCTTGGGAACTCGCAGGGGTGATTATACCCTGTCCTACAGTATCGCCATGAACCACAGATCAACTCGATGGCAATGAATGAGTTTTCCCTTTTGTCCTTCTCTATAAAAGAGAAGAGAGAAGGAGCCCCATGGTATTTAAGCATTAGATAATCAACATCAAGGTCTGTGGTTTGAATCCACTAATAGCTCCGTGGAAGAAAGACCTGGCAAACTGAGCCTGTAAAAATGTACAGCCTGGTCCAATACGATCGCTGAAGCCAAATAGGTGCATAAACAAATGTGGTGAAGAAAGCTGATATTGCCCAGCTATCAAAAGATAACATCTGGGGTCTGGAAGACTTGAAGGTAAACAAGCAGCCATCTAGATCCGAAGCAACAAAGCCCACATGGAAGAAGCACACCAGCCTGTGTGACCATGAAGTGTTGTCGGGATCAGGTATCAGGCATCAAAGAACAAAAAAATCATATCATTGTAAATGAGGGGGAGTGGGGAGTAGGGACCCAATGCCCATCTATGGGCAACTGGGCATCCCCTTATGGAAGGGTCATGGAGAGGAGACGAGCCAGTCAGGTTGCAGTGTGACAATGATGAAACATACAACTTTTCTCTAGTTCCTAAATGCTTCCTCCCCAATCCCCCAACTATCATGATCCTAATTCTACCTTGCAAATCTGGCTAGACCAGAGGATGTACACTGGTACAGATAGCAAGTGGAAACACAGGGAATCCAGGGCGGATGATCCCTTCAGGACCAGTGGTGAGAATGCCAAGGGTGGAGCGTGGAGAGAGGGTGGGATAGAAAGGGGAAACTGATTAATGGGATTTACATATAACCTCCTCCCTGGTGACAGACAACAGAAAATGGGTAAAGGGAGACGTTGGACAGTGTAAGCTATGACAAAATAATAATTTATAAATTATCAAGGGTTCATGAGGGAAGGGGGAATGTGGAGGGAGGGGAAAATGAGGAATTGATGCCAGGGGCTTAAGTGGAGAGCAAATGTTTTGAGAATAATGAAGGCAATGAATGTACAAATGTGCTTTACAAAATTGATGTATGTATGGATTGTGATAAGAGTTGTATGAGCCCCCAATCAAATGATTTTTTTTAAAAAAAGAAGGCAACAAACAACAAAAAAAAGAAAAATAAATTATCTACCCACAGCAAAAAAAAATTACACCCTGGAATACACTATTGAGTAGTTCTACTCTGTCCTATAGGATTTCTATGAGTTGGAATTGACCGGATGACACACACTTAGAGCGACAAGAAAGAGAAACAAGAACATTGGTTCCTGGAGTCAGTGGGACAGCTTTCAGAATCCATTGACATCTGCTGTCTGTGGTCTTTGAACAGATGCAGCTCCTCAAAGCCTGCTTTTGTCAGTTCTTTGAAACAATCAAGAAGGTAGTAAATGATAAAGGGATCCAAGACTCCCTAGAATCATTAGAGTATCTTCACAGTTGACCCATAACTGGAAAGGTCATAATTAACACTCTACTTGGACCCCTTCGGGATTGTGTGAATGCATGTGTTTCCGTGCAAGGCAATCAGCACCTGAGATAACTGATAGATATTCATTCTCTGATATCCCTCTCGTTGGCTTAATTTGAAAGCCTCCAGAAGACCTGGAACTTAAGGGAAATTAGAAGATTCAAAACATTGCCCAATGATCAAAAGGAGCTGTGTGAAATGCATCACAGAGTTTCAATTTCTCAATGGAATCCAGATTCCAGATCCATGCAGGCTGGATAAGCCCCTGAAACCATTGTCCTGATATAATCTTCA